TTTTATAATAAATATTTATATACCCCTTTCATCTGGCACGCTTTTTTTGTAAATCGGATCATACCCCTTTAACAAGGGGGGTCAAAACTTTAAACATGCGTATTGTTACTACGATATTTTCAATTTAATTTTTGAAAGTATTCCGGAAATACTGACACTTTTAAATATATCTTAAATTAAAGCTTATGTAATATACTTTAATGTGAAAAAAAAAAATTTGACCTCTGGATTTGTCTTCATGGTAAAAATGACTACCGTATGCAAAAATATGCTATTTTTGTGTTAAAATTCTGGGTTTTGTATTTTATTTTATTTTAAAATACCTGACAAGGGGAGTACAGATTTTCATAAATATTATATAAATTAAAATTGATATAGTATAGATAGTTAAACTTATTTAAATATGTTTGTTTCTTTTAAGTCGAGAAAAATAACTTTGAAATTTGAACTAGCTTAAATAGCCAATTTTTCAACCGCCGGAAGCAACGTACGGTTGCCGAGTTGGTAAAATTTATGTTTTACACGCTTGGGGTACGAGGTTCCAACCCGCATATGGCAATGAATTTTTTGCATTTTTTCTTAATTCTTTTTAAGTTAGTATAAATTTTAACTCGTTTGATTTTTATCACATTTAGATTCAATAACTTCAATAAAGATCAAGGATCCCATCACTTTAGTCGCCCCTTGCAAGAAGAAATTTCTTATTCGTATTAAAATTATTTTTATCAATTGATTTTTACAAATATAATCAAATTTTATAATAAACTCAATTGAGTAAATCTTTTTAACAAATTTGTTTTGATTGGTACATTTAGTTAAAGTAAATCATTAAAATTAATTAAGTTCTCAATATTTCAATTATAGAATCTTTTCAACAAACAACAAAAGTTCCTAGGAAATTATTACTATTACTTCTATTTAAGTTATCTATTACCATAAAAATGCAAAAAAATATTGAGCTTTTCTGATAAATTTACAATAAATAGTAATTATAAAACTTTCTGACTNATTATTACTAATTATATATATAAAATAATAATTAAAAGAAAAAAAAATTTGTTTTCAAATTATTACTGATTTGATTTTTAATATGTTAAAAATAATCAGTCCAAATTTTCAATTTTAACCTATTTTTTTGGTTCTTTAAAGTTGATGAAAAATTTTTGATAAAGATTTATGAAAGTTTATAGTAAAATAAATTGAATATATTACCATAACTTTTAGCTCAATTACAAGTTTAAAATTGACATCTAGGCCAGTCAACAAAGGAAAAGTTGCGGAAAAAATTTTGTTTTTTTAAAAGTTGAATTAAAATATGTATAATGACATACTAATAGTCCTCAAGATTGGAATTGAGCTTTTTTTTTAAATCCTCGCAAAAGTTCAAAAATATGAGCTTTCTTAATTTTCTCAAAAAAAAATATTTAACTTACAAAAAAAAGTTTCGCACAAAAGTTGTTTAAAAGACAATTATAAATAAAAATATAATCTTATATTTTTTCATTTAAACAAATATTTTTCGAGTTACATTACATTTAATATGAGTAATAAAATTTATATTCCATTTTTTTCATTTTACGGTTACTTTTTATCATGTTATACTTACATTAGACACAATGTTATAAATGCATATGTGTGTATGTGTGAGTTTATTTATTTATTGTATCATTAAAGTGTAGTGTATATTGAGATACAACCGATAGAGTAGGTAATTGATTTGACGCTATATTATTTAAACCCAACTAAACGCTAAATTGTACATTCCGAAATAACAATCATATTATGTCAATTGCCACCGGAATATCTGGTAATATTTTTCTTTTTCTTTGCCTTAATCCCAACTACTTGGGGTCGGGCACCCTTATCCTAAGATTCCACTTGACACGATCTCCCACATCTTCTACGCTCACATCAGCTGTCCTCAAATCGCATTCAATAGCATCCCTCCATCTCTTTTTTGGTCTTCCTCTATCTCTTCTTCCTTCAACATTCATTTCTATAACTGTTCTTACAGCTTTCGATTCTTCTTTCCTCATACCATGACTAAACAATCTAAGTCTATTTTCTGTCATCTTATCCACGATTGACGCAACACCTATACTTCCTCTTATATGCTCGTTCCTTATCCTATCTTCTCTAGTCACTCCACTCATCCAACTAAGCATTCTCATCTCTGCTACACTTATTCTCTGCTCTACTTTCTTATCAACCGCCCAACACTATTAACCATACATCATAGCTGGCCTCACAATTTCATACTAAATTTAAAAACTATAATTAGTATTTATTCATATATTATATTTTAAAATCAAAGAACTACTAATCAGGATATAATTAAAGAAATAAGAGTTCATGTTGCTTTTAAAATATTTCACCAATTTCTCTAAAGGAAACACTATCTACAGATTTGCATCGAAGCGTTTCTTATGATAGTGATTTTAATCACTGTCAGATATCATCTATACTTGTCCCATCTATGCCTCGTCCACACTGTGCCTCGACCCCACTGTGCTACCGTTTTTTTTATTTGGGCCACATAAAATATTTTAAAATAATACGCGGGCCGCAAGTTAACGGAACGGAAAGGAGATTAAAAAAAAAAACTATAAATACATTTATATATTATGTATAGAACATTTGAAAATTTATTATAAAACATTAAATAATCATTTTAAACTAGTGTGATACTCATGCTCATCAAATTATGCGATACTCAACCCGCGGGCCGCAGGTTGAGTATCGCTGGCATAGACAAACAGCCCGAAAAACTTGAGTCTATAGCGTCCTATCGGTCCCACGGAACATCAGGGATCTACGTAGATGTCTCGGCATATTTAATTGGTATTGTTAATTCGTCGACAACTACGCCGAAACAATAGCACCGCTAACAAATCTACTAAAAAGGGGGACAAAATAGTTGTGAAGGGAAGACCATCAAAGGGCTTTTGAACAGGTAAAAAAGGCCCTGTGTGAGTCCCCACGACTGAGTCCTCCTGATTAGGTGAAAACTTTCTGCCTTCAAACCGATGCAAGTGAAATGGGCGTAGGCGCAATACTCTTTCAGAGCAGAGATGAACCTGAAGAGAGAATAATCATATCCTACGCCACCAAGAAACTACCAAAAACGCAGAAACGTTACGCTGTCCTAGAGCAAGAATGCTTAGCAATTATATGGGCGTCTGATAAATTTCGCCCGTACTTAGAGTATTCTCCTTTCGAATTATTTACGGATAATTCTGCGTTGACTTGGCTACACATAGCAAAGGACAACAATTCAAAATTAACTAGGTGGGCGCTACATCTAGGGAATTTGAATTTTACAATGACACATGTATCCAGGAGCGCAATGAAGGACCGGAAATGTTATCACGTTATCCGACCTCGTGGCTCCCTATTGACGAAGAGTTATTAGATGAAAATCTAGTGGGCGCACCGACGACGAGAACGTCGGATAACACGCGGGCCACTCTTGATAATGTTTTTGCCTTAACCGAAACAAACGGCGCGTCTGATAAATGGCCGTTTACGAGAGAGGGGGAATACAAGAGTGGCAAAATGACGACCCGTTTCTTTCATCCATCATGAAATAATTACTCAAGGAAAAACCCAGAAAAAACGATAAGGAGTCCAGCAAGAACAACGAATATTTCATGTTAGACGAACTTATACGCATTCGTATGGGCGTAGACTCACCGGCCGTAATACCGGTAGCGAAATCACAGCGTGTGATTTGGCGATACCACGACGATGCTCTGGCGTGTCATCCAGGATGAAAAGAAACCTATCGAGCGATCAAACAGCGTTTCTATTGGAAGGGCCTGATAAACATAGTACGCGAGTACGTAAAATCGTGTGATATTTGCGCGTGTACGAAGGCCCTAAATAGGCGTCCGAATGATCCTATAACTTCGCGCAAACCAAAACAACCGTGGGAGGTCATTAGTATCAACTTAATGGGTAAGTAGCCTAGAACATCAAGGGGAAAAACGAATCTGATATAGCAACTCACTGTTTCAATCACTGGACTGAAGCGTACCCAATAGACGCAGCGACTACAAAGACGATTATAGACACACTCTCGCGTGTTTCGGGTACCCGCGACTGCCGACAATGTAAAAAATAGCCGCCCATCACCCAAACAGCAGGCCGGCAACATTATAGATAACGTTCATACGAAACACGTTGTAAAACCTTTTACGGTTGGAGACGTGGTGTATTATAAGGCACACCACTTATCTAATAAACAAAAAAAATTTTGAGCCGGCTTTGCGCCAAAGTGGTGGGGCCCCATCAGACTAGCGGAAAAAACTCCGCCGGTTTGCGGAGCCACTCGACGTCCCGGCGATCCGTTCATCAGTAGAGGCGGCCCGGGACGCTCCGCTAAACCGGATCCTTGGTGATCCGATAGCGAGCGTCTTCTAGAATCGTAGGATGCGGGACGGACGGGTGGCTACACTCCGCGTAACAAGGAGAACCCTCGCTACCGTATCGCAGGTCCCCGCGGCCTGTGCCGGGAGAGGGTGCTACCTTCTCTCCACACCGCCCGGCTACCATTGCCGCGGTGGTGCAGCGATCGACGGGCCGAAGCCGTCGGACCACTGAGCCCCCCGTTCCTGCACTCTACGCCCGGGACCGAGCCTCCGACGTGAACAGTACGTCCTCGGGGGCGGGCTTGGCCACCCGGCCGCCACCGGCTTACCCGGGCTACAGGAAGCTCACTTCCTCTGACATACGTTGGAGGGAGCGCATCAACCGGGCTTTCAAGGAGCGGAAGGATCGAGAGAGGGAGGCGGCCGTCCGTTCACCATGCACACCGGCGCCGCCTACACCAGCACCGAGGACCCGTCCGCCACCGCTGTCGGCCATCGTCCGGCGCCGCATGGTCGACACCAGCCGCGCCAACAACAGAGGCACCCACGTCGTAGACGTAGACGAATGTAGTGGATTATGCGATAAAATATATTTTGTTTTGAGTAATTTTACATTATTTTAAAATCTAGATGGTTACCTAGCGTAGATGAACAATTCACAGATATCCACTATCGGTCACTTAATGGTGAAGGATATTTCAATTGGCGATTCAAATTCCCATTTTCATATATGAAAGCCGAAAATAGAATTGTTGAAAAATCAAAAGGATTTTTTTCTTTGGAAGCTGAAGAAAAAATTTACTTACCAAGACTGCACATTCAGGTTTGGGACAATGATTGTTTAACTCCTGACTCTTATATTGGTAATTGATTTTTATTTTCTCGTTAAGTAAATAACTAAATTATCAAATTTTTAGGTTATTTAAGCTTAGATTTGTGGAATTTACCTATGGGAACAAAGTCATCTTGGAAATGTTCACTGATAGATGACCAAACTCCTCGTATAAACTTATTTAAAACGAAAAATACTAGAGGATGGTGGCCATTTATTTCAATTGAAAATAACAAAAATGTTCTTGTAGTAAGCGAAAATTATGACATCTAAAATGACGTAAACTGCTTTATAGATCTTAGTGAGAAAAACTAAAATATATTGATCTCTTCACTCGTAAAATATTAATCAGTTTACTTAACATAAGATTCAGATGAAAAAAATATCATATTGTATAACAATATGGTCATTAAAAACCAACGTTTTAATTTAATCTCAGACTCCTCCCAAATTTATTTTGATGCTGATAAAAATAAGCTTTGCAATATATCAAATAGATAATTCAATGTTATATATGTCCCAAATCCCTTAAAGTTGTGTCAAATTGTCATTTGAAAAGAAAATCTTAACTTTTAACCGTAAAATTTTTCCTGTTTAACTTTTAACTACGATCGCATAAGTCAAAAATGAAATTTTATTTTTATATTTTTATTCATAATTGTCGTAATTGATATTAACGGTAAAAAATCATCGTATGATAGAGTACCGAGAGAGGATTTAAAATTAGGTAAAAGGAGACTCGAAATGGTACATTAATATAATAAAGGGTATATTTGATGGCATTTGAATCAGCATTAGAGGAGTACCAAAAGGTTTTAGGATAAAAGAGGGAGTGCACCAAGGTTCTGATTAAAGTTCTTACATATTTTCTATAGTGATGGATTAAATTACTAGAGAGTATATGGAGTACGAGTTTGACAAAGGAGAACACGAGGTAGGTGAAATGATGAGGTCAGTGACAATAGGCGATGACATGATAAGAGAGGTGGAAAGTTTTAAGTATTTAAGATCAGTGCAAAAGAACGATTGTCGAGGATGTAAGACACAGGATTAAATGCGGCCACTTGACGTAGAGAGAAGTGTCTGGTATGTTAAGCGATAAAAGAATTCCAATGAGGCTTAAAGTTAAACTCTGTAAGACTGTTATGAGACCATCTATGATGTATGGCTTAAAGTGTTGGATGGTTGACAAGAAATTAGAGCAGAGAATGAGTGTAGCAGAGAATGCTTAGATAAATGAGTGGAGTTACTAGAGAAGATAGGATAAGGAACGAACATTTAAGAGAAAGTATAGGTGTAGCGTTTATTGTATATAAGATGAGAGAAAATAGACTTAATGGGTTTGGTCAAGTTATGAAGAGAGGGGAATCGAAGGGGCAAGAACAGTTATAAAAATAAATGTTGATGGAAGGAGGGTAGAGGAATACCAAAAAAGAGATGGAGGTATGTAATATAATGCGATATGGCGACGGTTGAAGTGAACATTGATGATGTGGTTGATCGTGTACATTGGAAGTATAGGATAAGGATGACCTCAAGTAGTTACGATTAAGGCGAGAAAAAAGAAGGTATCTTAATAATTACTATTCATAGGGAAAGATAGACGCAGAACTTCAAATATTGACAAAGTTAGAAGCTGAAAAGTCACCAGCGGGATTTGGAAGAGAAGAACCACAACCATTGCCTACACCCAAGTACCATCTAACTTTTATTTAATGATTTTAATTTTAATGTTAATTACATTTTATTTTATTTTTTTCAGGCGTCATGCAACTTACTTTTTGAATTCAATTATCGATCCATGTGCGATTATTATTCAATATTTTTTTAGCGTTAACAAAGTCAAATTTTTTGAAGTTTTTTGTATATTAGGAGTCGTTTTATTTTTATTATTATTTTTGTATTCCATACCTGGATATACAGTAAAAAAACTAATGCATGCTTAAGATTAAATTATGTATTTATATTTAAAAGGTTCTAAATATAATATTTAGGTTTGAACTACTATTTAAGAATATTTTGATCTATTGAAATAAATATTAAAAAGTTGTGATGTTCACCGACTTTTGGCTGTACGGATTTTACCAATAAAGGCCCATAAATTCAATAAAGTCTGATTTATATAGTAACATGTTACCAACATTTTTGAATATTATAGTCTAGTAGTAGCACACACAAATAGAGTAAAAAAATTATTAAAATACAAAGTAAAATGATTCCATTTTGTATTTGAAACCTATCATTTCAAATCATCATATCAAACTTGATTCGTCAATAAATATTTTGAAAACATTAGAAATGAATGATTTTAACTTTCTGTATAGAGAACATGGGATAAGTAACCTTCTCATTGATAAATAAGAATTGTTTTTCAATTTTTGAGGGTAATATCTTCAACTAGATACGAATTGTAGTCATTTGACGTATCGTTGAAAAAAATATGTCAAGTTAGAGCAGAGAAAATAAATGATAGTCACAAAAAAACAACTTCTCAGCTTTGCATCGAAGCTAAAACTAAAATTTTGTAAAATAATTTTAATATGAATAAAAGATTTCTTCCCGCGAGTGGCGATTACAGTGATCTTTATTGAAGTTATTTAATCTAAATGAGATAAAAATCAAAGCAGTTGAAAATTTATTTTAAAAAAAGAATAAAGAAAAAATGTAAAAAATTCATTGCCATACACGGGGGTTGGAAACTTGTATCTCAAGTGCGTTAAACACAAGTTTAACCGACTCGGCAACCGTACGTCGGTTAGCTAAAAAATTATTATCATTACAATATATGTATTTTTAGCTTCGATGCGAAGCTGAGAAGGTATTAATTTTACTATGATGTGTTTTTTTTTTGTGTCTGTATACGCTCAATCTCAGCTCTTGCTGGACCAATTTTGATGAAAAATATGTCAAAAGATCACAAATCGTTTTTAGTCGAAGACATTAAGCTCCGTCTACCTTCCTCCATCCAGTGATTTATCCCTCTATGATGCCTATGTCACTTCCGTTGATTATATTATCCATCTTTATCCAAAGTTTTCTTTTATTTTTTGTGGTGATTTCAATTTGCCAGAATTTAATTGGTCTAATAACGCTAGTGGAGTTATATATTCTTTTCTTTTACCTTCTCGTTTCTCCTGTATTCCTGAAACATTTGCTTTTCGTGGTTTCTATCAGAATAACTGTATTTTAAATTCACAAGGCTCACTTTAAGATCTAGTGTTTAGTAACGTTCCTGACATATCAGTTACCTTGGCTCCTGAGCCATGTATTCCTATTGACCGCTATCACCCTGCTCTGAATCTTTCTATTTCAGTTAATAACCAGTTCTCTAATTCCTCTTTACCCAAAACTTTCTTTAACTTTAATTTGGCTAATTATCTGAGTATTGCACAATTTTTAAACTCCTATAATCTGAAGTCAACTTTTTCCTCTTTAAATGTGGATCAAGCAGTTAATAGCTTCATGGATGCACTTCACTCACATTTCACCATGGTTTAATTCTGAATTGAGAAACCTTGTTTTTGAAAAAAGCATGATCATTATATATTTAAAAAAACCCCTTCTCTTGTTAACTATCGTCATTTTTCACAATGCCGTACACGCTATAAATATCTTTCTAAGCAAAATGTTCGTTCATATGCTGCTAAAGCTGAAATCTGCCTTCATACAGACTCTAAATTCTTCTGGAAATTTGTACGTAAAAATAAATCTTCTGTTCTTCCTAATTGCGTTAGTTTTAATGGCGTAATTTCCGATAGTACACTGTCTATGTCAAACATGTTTTGTGAACATTTTTCCTCAGTCTTTTCTCAATCCTCTTCTCCTTCTCTTAATACCCCCCACCTCATTTATTTTACGATCTTCCTAATTATGCTTCTTTTTCAATAAATGATGTTTTCAATGGACTATCTAACCTTAATAATAATAAATCTATTGGGCCTGACCTTATTCCTGGTAACTTCCTATTTAACCTAAGACATTAGATATCCTTTCCACTCAGGATGCTTATCCAAAAATCTCTTTATGAAGAATCTAATCCATCCATTTTTAAAATTTCCTCTAATACTCCTCTTTTTACATCCGGTGGTCCAACTCAAGTTGTGAATTATCGTCCTATTTCTAACCTTTCTCATTTATCAAAATTTTTTGAGTCCCTTGTCTTTCATTCAATTAAATCTAGTAATAATTACTTTCTTATTTATTGAACAACATGGTTTCCGTCATGGTCCATCTACTATAACATGCAATCTTGTATTTCAATCTTTCATTATCGATTCTTTCCTTGTCCATGCTCAAGTAGATGTCATTTATACTGATTTTTCAAAAGCCTTCGATAAACTTAATCTCTATATCCTATCTGAACTTCTATTCCACGCTGGTTTTGGTGAACTACTCCTCTCTTGGTTAATATCATATTTAACTGAAAGAAATTAGTGGCTAAATGTTCAAGGTTGTGCTTTGAAGTGATAACCCCTTCCTCCGGTGTTCCACAAGGTTCAATCCTATATCACCTTCTTTTTTTATTTTTGTAAATGGTGCTAATTCTGTTTTACAGCATACTAAAATACTCCTTTTTGCAAATGTCTTCAAATTATTTATGCGTGTTACTAATATTTCCGATGTTATTTTACTTCAAACTGATCTAGATCGCTTAGTTAGTTGGGCTGGATCAATTGGCTTGACTTTTAATACCTCTAAATGTTATAAAATGACTTTTTCACGTATTTCTAATCCTATATCTTTAACTTACTATATTCATAACCATCTTATTTCTTCTGTTCCTTCTATAGTTGTCTTTGGGTTTCGTCTCACTCCTACTTTAAATTTTCGACTTCATATTGAAGAAGTATGTTGTAAGGCTCTGAAAACTTTAGATTTCATTCAGAGAATTTCTCATGAATTTCACCTCTCAAGACCACTAAAAAATCTTTTTTGTTCGCTGGTTCGCCCTATCCTTGAGTATGGTTCGGTGTTATGGGATTCTTATACAGCTACCGAATTTATGATGCTTGACAGAGTGCAGCGTAAATTTTTACGCTTTGCGGCTCTTATCCTTAATATCCCCCATCCACCTCATGACTTAACTCCTATTCAAAATTTCTTGCAACTTCCTTCCTTATCTACCAGAAGACATGACTCTAATATCTGTTTTCTTTCTAAACTCTCAGCTGGCTTGATTGATTCTCCTGTCCTACTTTCTAAATTGAAATTTCGGCTACCTGCTCGTTTAACTCGCTATACTGTCCCTTTCCTCATTTCTCATTCATCTTCTAATTATATTTTTCATTCCGCTCTCCCACGTTTAATGCGTATTGCAAATAATGGCCCTGATTTTTTACATTCTGTTCATTTTTAATGTAGTCATTTAGCCTTCTTATTTAATATTTAAGTTTTTGATTATGTTTAAATTTTTCTTTTTCTCTTTGTCAAGCTTAAGTTTATTAATGTTTCATTTTTAGTTATTAGATAATTTTAAGTTGTTTAGTTAAAACTATCTAATACATATTATATTTTTTGGGCTATTGCCTGTATAAAATTTAGAATTATGGTTGCTTTTGAAATAATCTACCAATCTCTTAAAATTAAACACTATCTACAGATTTGCATCGAAGCGTTTCAAATGATAGTGATTTTTATCACTGTCAGATATCATCTATATTTGTACTATCTATGCCTCGTCCTTACTGTGCCGCGATTCCACTGTGCTACCGTTTTTTTTTAATAAATTTACATTATATTAACTTACAACATAAAGTTTTTTTTCAATTTATAATTAAACACTATCCAAATACCACTTCTTCAATTTGTGTGCTGTAAATAGTGTACATCTGTGTGGACTCAAATCCTTGTGAAACATGCACGATAGAAAAGTACTATTTTTATACAAGCTTGACGGACACTGCATAGTCTATAGGTTTATTATATGACATGGTTTTGAAAAAAGATCTTGTAAAAGTTGTTTCTTTTGTTCACATTTCACTTATATAATATCATATTTCATCGAATTTAATAGCGGGTAGATGACTCCTATATTTACATAACTATAACAAATAGGTATTCGGTGGTAGTGTTGTTCCAACCATTTATTTACAGTGTGTGATTTATCGTTTTAAGCGAAAGAACTTTTAAATATCCAAGTATATTCGCTAAATAAATCTATATCAAGAACTAATAGTTCTTTTATATGATAATTATTGAAGGAGTCAAGCAAGCAGTGTATGTCGAAAATCACTAGTCATGTTTTTAACTCTTTTTTGGAATTTTAGGTGTATTTACATTCGTGTTTCGTACGTTTCTGTTATATTCCCTTTTATTAGATTCGAAAGACTTATTTATTAATGTTATATTCTTTAAGTTGATAGCGTATATCTTATCAGCATGATTGTTTAATTTTAAATTCACTTCTTGCATTTCATTAGTTAATATTTTTGTATTTTTTTTATGGACACTATTTTAGCGTCAATATTTGCAATTATTGTTTTTATCATCTGTTAATGATTTTCTTTTAATTTTGTTTAAATTCGAATGAAACAATAAATATCTTTTGTAATAATTTCATTAGAATTTTGAAGTCTTAATACATCATCTGATAATGATTTTGTTATACTTTCAATATTGTTAAATTTTTATTAAAGCAATAAAATGTCTTTCGTAATAGTATCATTGGAATTTTGAATCTTAACCTCTAGCGGTAAATTCACGATACATGTTTGTTTTTAATGTCCTGTTAAAACTTTCTATAATGGATGCTTTAATTGCTCGTTTGCATGACATCGATTTCAATGAATCGTAATTCATTAGAGTTGGAATGTGTCTTTTTCCCACCTCTGCAAACCGAAATAAATACTAAAATATGTCTTTTAAGTTTACAAACAAACAATACAGTTCCTAATATAACTGAAAATAGAAATAAGATAGGTGTTACTAAAGAAGATCTACCATCTTATTTATGAAATTATTATTACAACAGGATCATATGAGTTGTTGGATTTAGAAATTTTTTAAAAGGATTTTATGTCAAAATTTAACATAGTATTCGAACTTAAAACCAATCAAATAAAATTAAAATGTGAAATGTTATGTAATAAGAACATTGACTTTTCTATACACCGTAGTATTGCCACACTATTGAGATTCGAAAAAAAAATTTATCCAGCTAACGTTAAACACATATCAGAATACCAAGTTAATATAATGAATGTAAATTGTATAAAAGTTCATTGTAATTTAGTATCTGATTCATTTAATAACGTTGCGCAAAGTCATGTTATAAACGAATTTTTCATGAACGTTCCACTAGGATTTCATGTATCCGAAGTTATATCAAAACTTGTTTATTATCCTCATAACACGACATCTATAAGCAAAGTACAAGTATCATTCAAATACCAGAACAGAAATTTAATCGATTTAAGAGGTGAACCATTATCGGTACGTTTACATATGAAACGTGAGAGTTGATGGGTCTCAAATTAAGAAATTTTAAACAAACAGTTAGTTGCAACGTAAAACAGTATAGTAATAATAATAATAGTTTATTAAATAGAAATCTTCATAATTTTTATAAATTGAAAAATACTCGGTGTATTCAAAAAAAACCCTTATCCAGGAAAGTGTTCAGAAAATAATAAAATATTAAAGTTAACCAAAAACAACTTGTCATTTCTGAAATCATTAAGTGTATTATAAAAAAAAACGGTAGCACAGTGGGGTGGCGGCACAGTGGGGTCGTTGCATAGTTGGGTCCAGTATAGATGATATCTGACATTGATTAAAATCACTATCATAAAAAACGCTTCGATGCAAATCTGTAGATAGTGTTTAATTAAAAAAAAAAAAAATTTGTTAAAATAGCATATTTTTGAATATGGTAGCCATTTGCGCATAGAAGATAGGTCGTCGAAACAAAATNATCAAAGCAGTTGAAAATTTATTTTAAAAAAAGAATAAAGAAAAAATGTAAAAAATTCATTGCCATACACGGGGGTTGGAAAACTTTCTNTATTTTTGAATATGGTAGCCATTTGCGCATAGAAGATAGGTCGTCGAAACAAAATTTTTTTTTCCATTTTATAGTACATAGAATAATCTTTAATGTGATATATGTTTAAAGGACGCAGTATTTCCGGAACATTTTCAAAAATTAAGTTGAAAAAGTTAATTTTTGTAAAAAAGTTGCTATTTTAAACCCCCTTGTGAGCAGAATAAGTGTTAGATTTTCAAAAAAATTTATATTAAATGAAAGGGAAATATCTAAGGTTTTAGTATAAAAAAAAATTATGTTGATTTGTTGATTTTTCAAAAAGTTATGGAAGTTTTAAGAAAAAAAAGTGAAAAAATTTCGAAAATTAGCAATTTTTAAATTTGTAATTTTTTTGCATATTTCCCCCATTTGCGGGGAACAATGGATTTTTTTTCAATTTTTAAGGGTAATGTCTCCAACTAGATATGATTTGTGATCTTTTGACGTATTTTTGAAAGAAATCGGTCAAGTGAGAACTGAGAAAAAGTGACAACAGACATAAAAAAAAAAACACATCATAGTAAAATTAATACCTCCTCCGCTTCGCATCGAAGCTAAAAAAAAATGGATTGGAAAATGAATGTACTGGAAAAATATACAGACGAATTGCCTATAGAGGATTTACATTATCATATTTATACTATTTACACTATTTACCATTTTCCACTATAGCGCTCTTAAATGGTGATCAAATATGAATAGCCGTACAAAATACCAATGCATACACTCTGTTTTGTGAAAGCTTTATATACATTGAAGGTGAAGTAAAGGTAAAATCAGGAACTGTAGGTAAAATAGCTATTGCAAACAATAGATTAGCTTTCTTATTTGTTACAATATCTTATGAAATAAACGGAATAGAAGTTCAAAAAGTAAAAGATCCAGGAACGACAAATTTGATGAATGGTTATTGCTCTTATTTTATGAACAATGTAAATAACCTTCAAAACTCTTTTTGGGATCCTAACTAAACGTACAACGATTATTCTAGTACGAACTTTAAATTTTCGGGATCCATTCCTATGTCACACATATTTGGTTTCGCCGAACACTATAGGAAATTATTAATTCAAATTAACAATCAGCTTATAATAAATAGAGCACTAAATGACAAAACTGTGTTGATAGCAACAAGTAATAGTGGTATTACATGATCCAACGACGACACAAAAGCACTTTTAAAATATAGTGTAACTTTAACGAAAGTTGTATGGAAAATACCAATTATGCGGGTTAATGACTGTCAAAAAATAAAACTGTTGAAAACCATAAAGATATTTATTGCGCGGTTAGAAATTGGGACCTGTGTGTTTATCCAGAGTTGCCGAATACAGGAAGAACAAGTTGAATGGTTAATTCAACCTCTAACATAGACAGACCCCGTTATATAATAATAAAATTTCACACGGTTGAAACTAGTAAATAAGGGTAACGTACAGACATTTGACTTATGTCCTCTAGTAAATTTAAAGGTGCATTTAAATTCATTCGAGTATCCATATGAGAACTTAAATGAAAATTCAGATAAAAATTAATAACATTGTTCTATCAAAACAATATAAATTTTTAATAAAATTATTATGAGAGAAAAAAATCTAAACCGTTATTCAATAAAGAAGAAATTTTAAAATATAATCCTCTTTTAGCTTCAATGCAAAGCTGAGAAAGTATTAATTTTACCATGATGTTTTTTTTTTTTTATGTCTGTTGGCATTTTTTTTCAGCTCCCACTGGACCGATTTCTTTCAACAATACGTCAAAAGATCACATATTGTATCTAGTTGAAGAAATCGCCCTTAAAAACATTTTCCCTCGTTTCCTGCAAATGGGGAAAATCTCCAAAAAAATTACAATTTTTAAAATCAGTTAATTTTGTCCTTTTTTTCAATTTTTTTTCTTAAAATTTCCATAACTTTTTTAAAAATCAACAAATCAACATAATTTTTTTTATATTAAAACCTTAGATATTTACCTTTCATTTGATATTACTTTTTGAAAATCTAACACTTGACCTGCTCACAGGGGAGGATTTAAAATAGTAACTTTTTTTACAAAAACTTTCTTTTTCAACTTAACTTTTGAAAATGTTTCTAAAATACTGCGTCCTTTAAACATATACCAAATGAAAGCTTATGTCATGTAATATAAAATAAAAAAATAAAATTTGTCCCGACACCTTATCGTCAATGAGTAAATTGCCACAGAATTTAAACAAAAAATGTAATATTTGCAAAAAAAATCAGCTCCTATCGTGATGTTTTTTGTATTTAAAACTACCATAATTTAATGAAATATTAACAAAATCAAAATAACATATTTTTATATTGAAGCCT